TGTGTATGTATAGATACACAGACATACACACACATAAATGTATATGTGTGTGTGTATATATATACATATATACGTGTGTGTGTTTGAATGATTAAGTGCCAGGTTAGTATACACATATATGCCTTCAATATAACTTCACAATATGGTAGGATATCATCTGTTAACATCTGTAAAGTGTTTGTTAATGGAACTGTGTTCAGTTCAATGTAGGCAGTACCCAATTCACAAATAAGTTGTGTACATTAATTCATTCAACAGATATTTGCACTGTCACTAAATGTCATGAATGAAGCAAAGATACACAAATAAAGGCCTTGCTTTCAAGTAGCTTATAATATAATTAGAGGATATAAAACATGTACAAGACAAAATAAAGAAAATATAAAATGTTACAAGTAATATGGGAGAAGTACAAAGTGCTGCAGGAATTCCAAGAAGGAAAAATCACTCTTGACTAGGGAATATCATACTCAGCTTCATGGAAGAATTGATATTTGAGATGGGTCCTGAAAAATGGTTAGGTTTTGACAGATGGAGACTCGGGAAGGACACTGAAATTGAAGGAAATACCATGATAAAATTTATAGAGCCAAGAAAGGACAAGGAATATTTTAGGAACAAAATGTAGTCCAGATTGCCTAAAATGAAGGATGCCAGTGGGGTATAGTGGAAGACAAGTTCAAAGAGAAGGTTGGTGTTAGATCATAGTGGGCCTACAGTATTAGGCTTGAGTTTTGGGACTTTATTCAGAAGATAATGGAGAGTTAATTGCAGCTTTTTGAGTAGAGGAGTGTTATCAGAACTATACATTAGGAAGCCAAATCCTGCCCATAGGATAGATTGGAGAGACAAGAAACCAGAGATAAGAAGACCAGTTAAGACTATTGCAGTAGGCCAAACAGGAGGCAATGAGGACTTAAACTACAGTTATATGGTGGAAATGGAAATGAAGGAAAGATATGAGAGATTTCTGCTAGAATTGGTAAAACTTCAAAACTAGGTAAGAAAGGCCCAGTGATAACTCTGAGGTTTTCTTCTTAGTTGGTTTGTTTGGAATGTAGAATGCATTTTCCTAAAGATTCCATGTTATTAATTGTTGTTAGATTCCCAGTTCAGACCTCAACAGCTTATTTAACCCATAATATGCCTGAAGCATAGTATTACACTTTAGTAATGCTGTATTATCTAACCACTATATATAACATATTTATGTATGAAAAAATGCATTCATAATTGCATCTTGGGATTTCAAACAACTGTCTTCACTGCCGCAACCCTAACAGTAGACCCAAGCTCTTCCCATCCTTATTTTCCAGTGAAATGAAAATTCTTCTGGCTCCAAGCCACTGGTGGCAGTTCTAGCTTGGACATGGGTTCTAGCAGGGTAGGATGTTTGACTGAATCCAAACTTCACAGAACAGATAGGTCCATGTGGCCCTCTAGGTCCTCAAGTGTGGCTCTTTGACTGACTCCTAACTTTGCGGAACTAGTAGGGATTTATGAAGTTTGGATTCAGTCAAAGGGCCGCACTTGAGGACCTAGAGGGCCACATGTGGCCTCGAGGCCACGGGTTCCCCACCCCTAATTAATATCTAAGGTCCCTTCCATCTCTGAAACTATGATCTTAAGAATAGTTCATAACTTCTCTCCTATTCTTTCCCCATCCCTGAGACAAGTATATAGTCTTCTTAAACTTTTCTAAAGGTTCTTTTTTTTTTTTAAACCAGCTGCAATGAATAAACAATTGGTATAAAAATAAGGGCAGCTAGGTGGTGCAGTGACTAGAGCACTGGGCCTGGATTCAGGAAGACTTCTGTTTGTGAGTTCAAGTCCAGCCTCACTGTGACCCTGGAAAATCGCTTAACTCTGTTTGCCTCGGTTTCCTCGTGAGCTGAAGAAGGAAATGGCAAACCGCTCTAGGATCTCTGCCAAGAAAACCCCAAATGGAGTCCAAAAGAATCAGACACAGATGAAATAAATGAAATGAACACGGGGATTGCCCATATTTGCAAGAAAGAGCAGGTAGTTTTTTTTTTTTCCGATAAACACCAAATAATGCAATTCCCTAGACTCTCTGTGAAGCATGGGTGGTAGTTGTCATAAACTGCTGACCAGGAATTGGTGCTTCTTGATGACTTTAAGAAAGAAGGCACCAGACAATGGGAGAAAGGGATTAGGAAGATAGATAAATGTGACACAAAATGACAGGGCACTCGTGAGGACAGTAAGTAGAAGACCAGAAGCATCTGTTGCTACAAGATCCAGATGACTATAACTGATAAAGGAGGAGAAGGCAGTGGAGGAGAGTCTCCTGCTTCAAACTCAAAAACCATCTGGGGAATCTAGAGTAAATTCGTTATACCATGAAACCCCAAAATGGATTCGAAATTCATTTCCCAGATAGAGGAAACTTTTTTTCCTAGAAAAGCTTCTCTAATCTAGATACTCATTCATTCTATGTGGCATTTAGGTGGGGAACAAAAAAAAAAGAAATATAATGCTTCTCTCACATCAACTTCGAGGTCTTCAGAAAAGGAAATAGGGGTGGGGGTGGGAAGGGACAGTTGGAGCTGAAACTTAGATGGGACAGATTAGGAAAAGGGCGCAGAGGAATAGGAGAGAGTAGAAATGAATAAGAGCTCACCCATACATACAGTACTTTAAGGTTTGCAAAGTACCGTCCCTGTATTATCTCATTTGATCCTCACTACAAGCCATTGGGGAAAGTGGGTAGTCTTAGTATGCCCATTTTAAAGATAGAAACTTTAAACAGAGGCTGAGAAAAACATTTAGTGACTTGGCTGGAGTCATACAGCTAGAAAGTGTCTGAGAAACATTCAAACCCCACTCCTCTTAACTGCAAATGAAACACTCTATCAATTCCACATCTTAGAAGGGTCGCTGTGAACATGATGGAAAAAGAATTCAAGCCACCAACATGAGACAGGCAGCACCAGCCTCACCCTCTCCCACAAGCACAAACCTAGCCCAACGATTATCGCCAGTCCTCTTGCCATTTTACTTGCTGTCTTTTCATGTCAGTAGCCCCATGACAGTAATAAGTTTCCAATGCTTTATTGATTCTCCAATTTTATAGAACTTCTTATTGGTTAATTAATACTTAACCAGATGTTAGAAGCAAATATATCTTTCTTTCATAACAGTATTTTTTTTTTTGGTATTCTCCTTGGAATGGACATGGAAATAAAGTCCAAACTCCTGGGAATAAGAGGATAGAAGAAAAAGTGGCTAAATTGGTTGGCTAGAAAAGCAATACTTGGTATGGTAAACAGTAATTTGGGTAGTCTTCAGAGATCCTGGGGTAGGTCAGATACAAATACATTTTGGGTAAAAACTATGGTAAAACTCCATAATTTGTGGGCAGAGCTCATGGAGAAAAAGATAGTCATTGAATGAAGCTGTGTTCCTCAACATTATCCAGTGCTGGTCAAAAAGTATGTGCTTTGGGCATCATTGTAATACATCTCCAAAAACCCCATGTGTAACTGAGCTTATTACTAACAGCTTATGAGCAAAGCTTAAATGTATTCTTTGGCCTTATCCTGGCAGGCTTGATGGCCTCAGTTGGGGGAGGGGGTGGAGATTAAAGCATCAATCTAATTTAATAGTCAATTATATTTTCCTGGGGTTGTACTTTCTCAGTAAAATGGGTACCACACCCTTTGTAATAGATGTGTTTTTAAACATTACATGAAATAAAAATTTTTGTAAGTTAAAATAGATTTAAAATCTTCTAAGAAACCTTGATATTTAAAGGAATTTGCTATAAATCTCTTTGTAAAGCAATAATTCTGATTGTAAAACAAACTCCTAATGTATATATTTTTAAAATTCCAATATTTTAGTGTTTATTTTTCTTAAAGTAAGGTACATTTGTAGTCATCAAGTCAATTAAAATTGGTCATAGTCAGAGTTGAGGAATTCACACTATTTTATGTGGCAAATTCTAGGTGAATATTAATTTGGTTTAAGCATTATAGGAGTTTTTAAAAAGATGTAATTTTAACCTTGGAAATGAAGTATTTAGAACTCAAACAAGATTGGACAAGAGTTTGCTTTTGTTCCATCCGTGAAAAAGAATGATTTTATAATAATAAGCAAAAATTAAAAGGTTAGTATTTAGCCTACTTATGGGCATGTTGTTTGTAAGCACTTTATCAAAGTCATTTCCATACTAAGAATTAATTGCTCATTACAAATGAACCTTGTTCATTAAAAACAGATATGGCAAGACATCTAATTGGCAAAATTTCATTAGTCATTAATTTGTATTACTGTGAGTAGTTTAAAGTAATAAAACTGCATTTCTTTAAAAGTTTCCTGTAATTCATTCTTTATACTGGTTAAGATTGACCTCCCCTCATAATTAATGCAAATTAATGAGATTTTATTCCAGTTCATGAAGTTACGTAGACCGTGCTTGCAAGTAGATAAAAAGAATGTTTTTTTTTAAATAGCAACTATCTATATTAATAATGTTCAAGGGATTAGTAATAATAAAATGTTCTTTTTATTTCTATAGTCACATTTAATATAAAGACAAATGATATGTTCTCAGATATAAAGAAGCAATTCAAACCCTAGTCTTCATGGTTGCCTTCTAAATCATATATCAATCTGTAACTATAGTCATAAGAGATAACAGTCCAAGTAATAGCATCATAGTTAGGGCTCTGTCAGCCCAGGAAATTATAGGCATTCTGTATTAGAGAATTTATGGTACTTGAAGAAGGCATACTTTAAATTTCTAGTGGACCTATTGAATGAATGGTTGGGTGGGTGGATGGAAAGATCAATGAATGAATGGTTTCTTTTCTGAGTTTGAATGGGTCTATGTTTCTATACAAAGTTGAACTGTGCAGTTATCTGAAATCTTGTCCTTAACATTTAAATCTAATAAAAGTGATTTGTCTGCAGATATGGTCCTATGTCACCCATGTCTATTCTTGAATGCTTATCAATGCTGACACTCTTCTTAGCTTTCCCATCTCATTAACCAGCTCTCCTCACAAGAACACTGAAGTAGAACAGACCAAACTGCTGGCTAGGGCCGCTCCAATTTTTCTGAAAGGCAAAGGGTAAGTTAAAGACGTGGTGTGTTGGCATCTCCTATTAACACAACTAAAAACAAGGTTTCCTTTTTTTTTTTAAGTGTTTCATGCTCTTAGTGCCTTTTTTGATTCCGAGCAACACTTTCATCGTAACCTAATTAACCACATTAAGTAGATGTTTCAAGTAATGTACTTAAACATCTGTGTGCTTTTGAATCTCTGGCCATGAATTTTGTTACTTCAGTACTTGAGCTTAAGCTCGTGATTTGATATTCCAAAAAATAGCTGATCTTTGCCTGGAGCCTTTTTCAAAGCTTGCACTGTAGTAAAAAGCTAACTTTAACCTTTGTGTTTTTTGGAGAATGTAAATCAGGTTGTTTTTTTTTTTAAGTAGTTTAATCAAAACAAAAGTCTTTTATAAATTGGTAAAAGGGAAATGAGAATGTCAGTATTGAGTTTAGTGTTTTTATCCACCCACCCCCACCTGCACTCCTAAGGAAATGACTGACCATTCTTTCCTGATTGCCATAAATTTCTCTCTGCTGCTCCTGACTACGCCCTTTGCTCCCAACACTGTTTCAGGTTACGCTACAGCCTGGATGTTGCAGACAGGCTAGCTGATGAACATGTTCTCATCGGGTTGTATGTCAACATGCTTCAGAGCAAGCCATCACGGTTAGTGCAGGTTTGGCCCCTGGGCAGCCAAGCTTAATCTGAAGGAGAAGGACCCTATCCAGTTGGTGACGTTATGTTTCAGTGTGGTATACTGTTGTATATCAAAAGAGCAGTCTCCAAATCAACTAGATAAGAAAAAAATACATGTGTGTATATAATATATATACATATGTATTATATATATACACAAACACACACATACACATATAATTAAGAGGTCTATGACTCTATTTCCTTGATGTCTTTGAGTATTGGTATTCATATGCCGTAGAATCCAAGTGATTATTTATACCATTGCAAAGACAGGGAGTGGGATATACTTGGTTTGTAAGTAAAGAATTACCGTACAGATGGACTCATGGTTTTTGGATGGGAACCAGCCACTCAGTGCTTTCCTGAAAGTCATCATAGAATTTAGTTTATTCTAAGGACATTGCTGTCTCTGGTAGATTAAAGGGTAATGTTTTATTTAAGTTATGATTAAAGTGAAAAGGAAGGAAATAAGATAGTCAACTAGAAAACTGTTTATGCAAGTTTGAAGAAAATATGCTGTATTAAATCACTAAGATTTTATTCTGTCTTCAGGGTCTAAGAATTTGCTTATATTTCTTGTGCAATGACCACTTTACAGTAATATAGTTCAATTCAACAACCATGTCTTTTTTTTTTTAAAGACAGTTCAACCAGACTAGAAATGCAGGGGCCAATCACAGGTGCAGTCCTACAATTAATTGGCACAGGAGCTTTGACCTCCTCCATTTCCAACCTGGACTATTCATCCCTCCTTAGGCAACCTGGTGATCCCTGTTCCCATGGACTCACTTTATTGATGTTGAACTTAGTGTAGGCACCCAATCAGTTTAGGTCACTGTAGCTTACAGCTCCTGAGCTCAAGAGATTTGCCAGCCTCAACCTCCCTTTTAGTTGGTATTACAGACATGTGCCATCACATTCAACTCAACAAGCATTTTATTAAGTGCCTACTGTGTTCAAGACAACATGGCATAGTAGTCAGTAGTCCAGACTAGACCTGAAGTCCCAAAGACCTGGGTCTAAATTCCACCTTTGGCACATATGACTATGTAAGACTATATAATTTTTCAGAAGCTTAGGCAACTCCTTAAAACTTATCTACTAAAATTAAGTCTTTTGATCTAGAGAGGAAGGGAATTCTCCACAATAACAAAATTATGGTAGTGCTTCTCAAAGTGTGTTCCAGGGAACCCTGGGGTCCCTGAGAACCTTTCAGGGGTCCTTGAGGTCAAAGCTATTTTAGTAATAATAATGTCACTAATTTCTAATATGGTAAATATCAGTAGATCTGACTCACATAAATGAAAGCTCTTTAGGTGGGGTTCCTCAACAATTTTTAAGTATATAAAAGGGTCGTGAATCCAAATGGTTTGAGAACTGCTGGTTTACAGATAAGATTCTTCCACTTCATGAAAGATGCTGGGACACAAAAATTTTAAATGACCCAATACCTGTCTGCCCTCACACAGTTTATGAATATTATTACATAAAGAGTTCATATTTTTGTTTTGTCTCAGTTTATATTAATTAGAAGTATTTGTACAAGTTATGTGAGAAAAGTAGTAGTCTTATTCATGTCCCAGTAACATTCCTAAAAATCAAAGTCTATTAGCAAATTCATCAATTAAGCTTATTTACATTTCTGCTGTCGAATATAATAATTTCTTTCTTTGAACTGTGGGTTTCTTAATTAATTGTAGTTATTACTGTGCATCAGTAAGAGGTAATGTGCTTGGACTTCATAATGGATTATGAATCGCACTTTGTGGGTGTGTATATGGGGGCAAATGAAATGAAAGGGGAGATTTGACCTGATTTCATTGGTCTAGGGAACTCCCTGTAAAGAACCTCCTTCCCATAATGGAGGTCAGCATCTGCTCTGCAACTTATCATGTCCGAGAGCTGCTGAAGGCACTGAGAAGTTAAATAACTTGTCCGGTGTGACTCAGCCGGTATGTCACAGGCAAGACTTCAAGCCAGCTCTTCCTTACACCAAAGCCAGCTCTCCATCCTTTTTGTACTGTTATGCCTCTTCTAAGTTGCCCATACATTTTCTATTTATTTCAGCTGGTCTATACCCACTCCCACCAATTTCCTACAATATCCCTTTATCATAACTCCTCTGAAGCGACAGTGTCTTCCCCACTGTTGCCCACTGGATTCAATTTGGCATAAATAAATAAATGAATGAATGAATGAATGAATGAATGAATGAAGTCCAAACACCTCCATGTCCTCCATAATCTTACCTTAATTATCAAGTGTTAACCTTCCGCTTCTCAGTGTACCTCACACAGGACATGTTCATTTCATCTCTATGCGTTTGTTTGGTCTGTTTTCCCTGCTTCTCTTCCCTCTCCATTCCCTACTTTTCATGGCCAACCATGTCTCACCTCATCTGTGAAACTTACTCTCAACTATTCTAGCTGCGCCTGAGAACTCTCCTAGGATTTATCTATAAGTATTTCATAGGTATGTGTGTTTTCCCCAAAAGGGTTATAAGTTCAACTGTGCTGAAGACATCTCAGATTTGTTGAATTTAACTGACTTTCTGAGTAGAAATCCCAGCTCACTCACTACTAATTTTACGTAATAATAGTTTTACGTACTCAAATATTTTGAGTATTTGATTATAGTTTTACTTAGGTAAATAAATGCTTTCTTTTCATAACAGATTTCTAAGACAGGATAGTATTCATCAATTTGCTAATGGTTGTTACTTGTTTACAGATGTTAGCCCAAGGTCTTCAATTATAATAACATCTTAGAATTGGATTGTTTGATACATCTGAAAGTGTTTTCATGTACTTCCACACTAATCAGCCTGTCAAAACTTCTAAAGGAAGGAATGATTGTTTTAATCTAATTTCTGGTGCATTTAGTGATATGTTAATTTACAGGAGTGATTTTGATACATAGAAATTTTATCTAGTCTTCAAACATGGATCTTGACTACAAATGAATTCCTTGGTGAAGATAATGTGATGATCTCCTTTTATCCACAACTTCCAGTGGCTCCCGGCTATTGCAATCATTTCTTTGCCCTTTTCTTAATTAAAATAGCAACATTTTTTCTAAATTGCAGAAGAAAAAAACTGTCATTCTCAGACATTTTCACTAGCTGCTGCTTAATCACAATGACTTCATGATTCACATAAGGCCATAAAACTGTCTCTATAGATGTACTACCCACCCATGTGGAGACAACCATATGTTACTTATGGAGAAAACCAAAAATAGAATTAAAATTATTAAATGAACAGGCCCTGTTCAAAAAAGACATCCTTCATATTCCCTGAGATTTTATCTTCCCTTTTAATTCTTCCATTCTCTCTTCCCAATATTTTTTGACTCATTCTTTCTACCAACATATTACATTGCTAGGTCTTGCATAGATCCTTATTTTTTTTTCATTTTCTCTTGACTCTCTTCCTTTTCACTGTTTTAAAACATGAACTTTGGAACCTAACAATGTCATATGTGTATCAGAGATTTGAAAGTACTATAATGATCTACTTTCCTTCACCACCATTATTTTCACCTATAATAACTTTCTCTTGCTTTAACACTAATGCATAGCTCTCACCTCTTTGGGAAGAAAAAAAAACAGTTGAAAACTTATTTTCCAGGAAGTTTCCCTGGTCTTGCTTGAACTGACTCTGACCGCTGTGTTCCTTAGCAGCTCAATATTACTGCAGTATCAAGGCCATTCGGTGGTACAGCGGATAGAGTGTTTGATCCAGAGTCAGGAAGACCTGAGTTCAAATCCTAGTTATAATGTGACCTTGGGCAACATGTTGCCTCAGTTTCCTCAACTGTAAAATGGGGATAATTACAGCACCTAAAATTAGGGCTATTGTGAGGATCAAATGAGATAATATTTGAAAAGCACTAAGCATAGTGCCTGGCACACAGTAAGTGCTATATAAATGCTAGCTAATATTTATTCATCTTAAATTAGATTCATTTATACTTATTCAGTGCTGTTATGCAGGGGTTCTTTAGGCATTTTATGCATTAATGTTTCAACTTCTTCCCTCTTTTATCAATCAGATGCTAAACTAAGATCAGGAACTGGGCCTTCTGTTTCTTGTATATTTTACCACAACACTTTATGCCCTGCACAGACCCAAGAAGTGTTGTTGATAAAATTTACTGAGGTAGTAATAAGATAGTGTGGCCTAGTGGAAAGAGAGAGCTGGCCACAAGGTCAGAAAGATTGGCTTTCAAGTTCTGCCAGTGACACATTTGCTGATGACCCTGGAAAAGTCCTATAACCATCATCATCATCATCATCATCATCATCATCACAATAGATG